TGATTTTGTTTTTGCAAAAGCATAATAAAAGAAACAGAAGTGTAGACTAATATTGTCAGATGACACACGTAATGCTACCGCACGATCGATTGTGTACTTACAGCCGATATAAACAAGAACGTGCAGCTCCTTCTCGAGCTCCTTAAAAATGCGAAAGAGGATACAATTTTCTTAATAAAAATTTCCTGAGTTCTATCATTCCATAAAATTTATCTTTAAAGTCTTGAGAAACGCTCTGCACATAATTTATGTATATGTATATGTTTACATATTTTTTTTTATCTATATAATTAATTTATATACATATATATATATGCCATATATAATTATCCATATATGTTATTAAATTATGTATAGATCTGTATAATTATATATAAATTACATAGATTATTAGATTTAATAGATACTAATAGATACTAATAGATATTAATAGATACATATACATGTATAATTTATACAATGTTATAATTATATGTATATATAATTTAGCACACTTAATTGTAGCAGTACTAGGATTTTAATTGCACATTTCGATCGATCAGCATACATACAAGTATATATATAATTTATATTTTTTTTCTGAGAGAATTGTGGACACTTGATGCATTTTTTTATCTTTTTTTAAAAAAGAGTTTAACAAAATTACGAACAGAAATCTATTACAAATAGTAGATCATTTAAAACTGGTTTATGTATTTATAATTATATAAGACGGCTCCACACATTTTATATTTCAAAAGTCAAAAATTATATACATATATATATTATCTACATATATGTATATAATTTAGCAAACTTATATTAAACTGAAAGACATAATGCTTTTTTTAAGCATCAATAAAGTATGTCATAAATCAAAATCAAATAGTGTTATTATATTTTAATGCCAATAAAATTACAAATAGAAATGATTCATAGATTATCTAAAATTGGCTTAAACTAATTTTCAGATCGTTTATAATTCACGACAAAATTTGGGACAGAATTCTATTTATAATTTTATGTGTCGTGTAATACATTGGATAATTGACTCGGAGAACTTACACACGTATATAAAAATTCACGACAAAATTTGGGACAGAATTCTATTTATAATTTTATGTGTCGTGTAATACATTGGATAATTGACTCGGAGAACTTACACACGTATATAAAAAGCACGCGACATAAAATTATAAATAGAAACCCGTTTCGAATCCTGTCGCGAATTTATAGATTGCCCAAAATGGATTTTAAGCAGGCAACTTTGGTCATCAAGATTAATATTCACATAGCTGTATAAATATGAAGTATGTTTCGCCAAGATAAATATTGCTGCAAAGCAAATAATATTTACAACATGGGCGAAAATAATCCACGTTTATGACCTCGACGTCAGTTTTCGCTTCGTCAAGGAATGAGTTTTCACAGCTATACGAGTACTCATCCGTTGATGTTATCGAACATGATATTACTTTAAGTGCAGTGACGCCATCCCCTTTCCCTTTCCGGGAGTCTTAGACATATTTCAAGGAGCATCATTCAAGGAGCAAGGATTCAAGGAGAGAGCAGAGGTTTTCAAGATCACATAATCTCTTTGCAAAAATAACAGATATTCATATATGAAAACATCTTTAAAGACAATTCCTACAGCATAAAATATCGTAGCAATATTTTAATAGTTCATAATATTACAAAAATTGCAGCAATATTGTAATTTTAATATTTATTAGTAATATTGCATCAATATTGTTGAAATATATATTATAACTTTAATATTCTGTAGGAAATTTCGTATATTACACTGCAATATTATAATTTAATAAATAAGTACGCGGCCCCGCTTCTAGATGGATACGTTTCTTGCAAGAAGAAAATTCAGAAGTTCTGTAATAAAAAGGCATATTAGCGAATATTTTCTGGATTCAATTTTCATATATTTTGAAATGTGATTCTAATCAATAATATTTTAGCAATAACTAGATTAATCATTGAAATATTGTCTAATGTGTTCCAGCAATATATCTGCAATATTTTTCGAAATATTGTAGAAATGTTTTACAAAATATTGCAATTTTTTAAGTGATATTGGAGTACTCAGCATACAGACGCGATTAAATAAAAATAAAAAGAGTTCCTTTTTAAAATAGAAAAGGTGCTCTACTTATAT